TATTTTCTAACAAACCATTTGATAAATTTTTTTAACCATTGTATAAGGCGCAGAAATGTCATCAACAAAGGGTAATTCATCTATGTTACTGATATTTCCATTTGTGTGCTAGGCATCCTTGCATATACTGCCAGTGTATGTGATAAACAGCAGTGCTGATAAGTCATTACCCTATCTTACTCTAGGTGTTACTGTGAATGGTTTATATCTTCACTGACTTATTCTAAGTACTCATAGTTAGAGACTTGCTTATGTTTGGTTGATTTTACAGCTAGTTTTCTTCAGTCTCACACTAATACTCCTTGAGTGGCTTTCATGAATACATGCATGTCAGGTTATAGAGTTAGTATACTTTACCTCTATTGTGTGTACTATACTTTACCTCCATTGTGTGTACTATACTTTACCTCCATTGTGTGTACTATACGTTACCTCCATTGTGTGTACTATACTTTACCTCCATTGTGTAGACTATACTTTACCTCCATTGTGTGTACTATACTTTACCTCCATGGTGTGTACTATACTTTACCTCTATTGTGTGTACTATACGTTTCCTCTATTGTGTGTACTATACTTTACCTCCATTGTGTGTACTATACTTTACCTCCATTGTGTAGACTATACTTTACCTCCATTGTGTAGACTATACTTTACCTCCATTGTGTGTACTATACGTTACCTCCATTGTGTGTACTATACTTTACCTCCATTGTGTGTACTATACGTTACCTCCATTGTGTGTACTATACTTTACCTCCATTGTGTTGACTATACTTTACCTCCATTGTGTGTACTATACTTTACCTCCATTGTGTTGACTATACTTTACCTCCATTGTGTGTACTATACTTTACCTCCATTGTGTGTACTATACGTTACCTCCATTGTGTGTACTATACTTTACCTCCATTGTGTGGACTATACTTTACCTCCATTGTATGTACTATACTTTACCTCCATTGTGTGGACTATACTTAACCTCCATTGTGTGTACTATACTTTACCTCCATTGTGTGGACTATACTTTACCTCCATGGTGTGTACTATACTTTATCTCTATTGTGTGTACTATACTTTATCTCCATCGTGTGTGCTGTACTTTACCTCCATGGTGTGCACTATACTTTACCTCCATTGTGTGTGCTACACTTTACCTCCATTGTGTGTACTGTACTTTACCTCTATTGTGTGTACTGTACTTTACCTCCATTGTGTGTGCTGTACTTTACCTCTCTTGTGTGTACTGTACTTTACCTCCATTGTGTGTGCTGTATTTTACCTCCCATGTGTGGACTATACTTGATCCCCATTGTGTGTGCTACACTTTACCTCCATAGTATGCACTATACTTGATCCCCATTGTGTGTACTAAACATTTTTATCAGTAGGTGGTAATTATTTAGGAATATCACAGCACCCTGGACAGATCCATAGATGCTCCACACTCCTCCTCAGAAGCTCCACAAATATAAAAAGACTGATTACACCTCTTTGTTGATGAATCAAATGTTGTGTCTCCTTTTGGAAATAATAATTTCCTGCAGCTTCAGTCGCACCTCCATTTCCACCACCCTGGGCAGGGATACAGGTTCATGACCTTTTCTCATGTGTTTCATTAACAAATGGGCAATTCATGTTTGTTTGTTTGATTGTGTGTGTGTGTGTGAGGGGGGGGGGGGGGAGCAAGAAGAAGGAAAGGAAACAGGTATTTTTTAACAATATGAAATGTTGTTCTTGATTGTACAGGTGATATTTGAAGCTATTCGCAGCAAAGTTGATTACTACTATGGAGTTGATGACTTAACAATTTATGACAACGCCTGTGAACCACCAGGTAGGAATATTATTTGTTCTACTATGTGACAAGAATGCAAAATATCATAATCAGTGACTCCTTGTACATGTGAATCACACAAACCACTTGTCCAAGACAGTTACCGCTTTTGTCTATGTTGTCTTAGCTCTCTCAGTCCAACAAAGTTCTACCTATTGCCTGAGGGAATTACGTATGACAATGCTAAACTCAGGGGTATACCACTTCCACCAATGTTTAACTTTTCCAATAGTTTGATTATTTCTACGTGTTTCACACAATCAAATGTTTTCGTATAGTCAATGAAGCATAAGTAAAGATAATTGTTTACTTCTATAGCTCTTTCGGTAAAAGTCCTAAGGATGTATGCGGCATTGTTTGACACCACTTCCACACGGGCCAAATATATGAGCCTTACAGGAAACATATTTTTTTTTTCATCGAACACCGGCTGTGAATTCCAGTGGAAGGTCAGGTAATCGTCCGCTTGGACTTTTGGCTTTCACCTGGACCTGATTTTTGCGTGTACAACCGTTTTTTATTTCCCTGCCTCATGGGCAGCTGTACGCCGACTTCGAAGGAAGACGTCAGGCCTATTTCTAGGGTGACTGTGGCCATTGTTTTGTGTGGGTCGAGACGTTGCCTGATTTGTGTGGTGTCCACTTCGTCTCCTTTGCCGCAGGTATTGCCCCCGGAGTACCCCTTTGGGTCGGCCCCCTGTGGAACAGTTAGCCCTCAAGAGAAGGCAGGGGCAGATCTTGGGCATTCCCCGCCATCCGAGGAGGCATCCATGTATGCAGAGCCGACACATGGCGCTCTGTTTCTGGGCTCACCCAAGGAATCGTCACGTCCTGCACAAGCCTGCTTAACCTCACAACCGTATCAGGCCTCCCGCTCGACAGGGGCTGCGCCCTCTGGGGGTCAGCGGTGAGCATCCCTCGGGTTTTGGACTTTTGTAACCACACAGATAGGTACATTCTTTTTTTTTCTTCGCACGTTAGATTTCTTTGACGAGCCGTTAGCCCGACAGATTTTACATCCTGCATCAGGCATATCGTTATCAGTTTTGTCCCAACACTCGGGCGAGTGGTGTCTTTGGGTGTGGATATTCGGTCTTTTTCAGTTCAATTCAAATTTTGAGGTCAGATTTTGATCCGTATGATCTAGTTTTAGGCTTAGCCATCCGATCGATGGATGGTTGCTGTTGTGGTGTACCACAGCGCGGTGACGACGACACTGAGGGTTTACCAAGGACATGAATGGCCAGCCTATGGATAGTTGCTGTTGTGGTGTACCCCAGCGCGGTGACGACGACACTGAGGGTTAACCAAGGATGTACATGAATGGCCAGCCTAGGGATGGTTGCTGTTGTGGTGTACCTCAGCGCGGTGACGACGACACTGAGGGTTAACCGAGGATGTACATGAATGGCCAGCCCATGGATGGTTTCTGTTGTGGTGTACCCCAGCGCGGTGACGACGACACTGAGGGTTAACAGAGGATGTGCAGTGAACAATGTTCTCTTTATTCCGCAGTCTTTTAACCAAGGGTTGTAATTTTGGCTGTACGTTTGGCAGACCTACTCATGTTCCTAATGAGTTTTGTTAACAATTTTTTCACCCAAGCGTTTGGGGGCGGGCTGATGAGAGCCACAAGGACACATCACCTCTGGGGGCCGCCAAACTCCGAGATCCCCTGACAGCTCTGTTAATGCTCATTTGAGACATTATCCGTGGCGCACGACGAGGACGTGCTGCCGGGGTCTTGCGTGAGGTTCCGTTCAACCAGGATATTAAAGGACTGGCGCCCGAGTGACGTACGGAGTATCTCCTTATACACATCATTTTGGACTTAACTTCCCCTCACGCCTGTGACATAAATCACCGCGCCACAGGAAACATATATATTATGAAGGTTCTTCAGACACCCTCGCTAAATGTCAGATGGAAAAACATACATAACATGTGGAATGGGACCCCTGAATGATACATTACACCAAGAGAGAAGAAGCTGGACATATTGACATCATGGCATGGAAGATCATCTGTATGAGAAATAATTGAAAGTACATAAGGTTAGAATATTATATATAGACCTGACATCCCTGATGGCATGAACTGTGGAAGATCTTTGTATCAGAACTGATTGAAAGTGCGTAAGACAGAAATTGTGGATAGACATTACTAAGCTTGTTTTACGACACTGGCTATAAGAAGAAGAAAGGATTAGTATACTAGCCTGCCAAAATATTGGCTGATATTCAATGCTTATCACAGGTAGGGGGATTTATTCTAGGCAGCTTGGCTAAGGGGTAGACCCAGTCTGACACAAATTGTATAAGACAATTTTAGAATTGTCTTTGAATTATTTGGGAAAGAAAGTCGACTCTCCATCTCACCTAATCTGTCATGGCTTAACATATGTGAGACTAAATACTTCATACCCAAAAGATTGTATAACTCTCCAGGCCTGCTGTTTACTCCAAAGGAGAGTTAACACCCTTACTTTGCCATGCTGTAACATCGACTATCAGGTAGCATTAGTGATTAGTGATTAGAAAGGATTATCTTCACAGCACTCCAGACAGATCCATAGGTGCTCTGATCTTCTCCTTAAAAGCTCCACAAGAGTAAAATGATTGATGATGCCTGTTCTATGTTAGTTAATGAAATGTCTTGTCCCTTTAGTGAAATGTTTATTACTGGCAGCTCCAGGCTGTATCTCCATGTCCATGAGTCTAGAGAGAGATACAGAGTCATGTCCTTTGGCGTGCTCATCTGTACGGTAAGTGCAGCGCATCGCATTGTTAACATCACTTTTTTCTAGTGCTGGACCAGCCATAGCAACTGCAGGGTCAGCAAGATAGTCTGCACGCTCGTTCCCATGAACACCTGCATGACCTCACACAAAGATGAAAGTTAGGGCAGCTAGTCGTGAAGTGCTTACTAGTGTTGCAATCCATTCTTGCCTGATAAATCCAGCTTGGATTTTTAAAAGCATTTTAAGGTTGCATTTCGTCTTTCTATGATAAGGCTAATAACTTCTCAAATATGCTTTTTATACTCAAAGCCATGGAGCAATGTGGGTTGTCAGATTCGAAATATGCTATCCAACATTTGATGTTAACAGAGAACATCTAGGACTAACTACTAGCAATATCTCTACAGTGACACATATATTTCAGACTCCTGTAACTTTGAAGAGGATTATTGTCTGTGGACCAATCTCGGAGGTGAGACTGATACCCAAAATGTCCTAGCCTACTACTGGAAACGCTATCAGGGTCTACAGAGGACTGCCAGTTTTGCCCCAGTGATTGACCACACAACTCAGACAGTCCATGGCTACTACATGCTTGTGGAGTCATCACTGGCAGATACAGGCTCCTTGGCCCGCCTCTACAGTCAGGTCTGTACTTTAGTTGCATGTTTGTGTCTGTAGTCCAGTGGGCACCCAGTTAGTTAAGTGGAACTTTTTTATTTTTTGTATTATTGTTTTTCAAAGGTCTGATATGGATTCCATATTTTTGTATAGTTATAATCGCTGTGTTGGTTCCAGGGCCCCCTTATGGGGGTTATGGGGGAAAACAAGAATAGACTCACTTCCCACCGAAAAGAAGGGATTCCAGAAAAATTTGACTAAAAAGCTCAACAAAATGGGGAAGCAGAAAAACGGGCACAAAACAACACAATGTAATTTTTCGACCGGGCGGTCTTTTTTCAAAAATAAGTGAGCTACACAACGAGGAGATGAGAGTATATAGATCTCTAAGGGGTGACGTGAGCAACGTTTAAAAAAAAGTGTGGTGTGGAATAAATGAATTAAAATAAAACAAACGATTGCTAAAAAATATAGTCACACAAAAAATAAACAGTAGTATTGTTAATATATAATATAATACTGGGAATAAAAGAAATACAAATGTTAATGATATATAAATGATGCTGACTGATAAGAAATAGAATAAAGTAATAATATGAAATAAAATAAAATAGAAGAAAATAAAATAATTAACATTTAAAATGTCATAAGAATAGAACTATTTAGATGAAGGTATGTTGGATATTGATACCACCTGGACTAAGAACGCCTACGCAATGGATGAGCCAATTTTCTAAATTGAGGCACATAGTATGATCACCAGAGCAAGATTTTAATGCTGTGACAGATATATCATCTTTACCTCTGTGGTCAGAGCTGTTAAAATGAAGAGGTGTTTCCGGAAATGATCAGCTAGCTTCCTGCCAGTTTCCCAAATGTATGCCTTGCTGCATCGTTTGCAGATAATTGCATAAATTACCTTGAGGGATTCGCAAGTAAAAGGTTCCCTAATTTGGAAAGAACCATTAGGGAAACTGACCGAAGAAGTCTGGACAACGAAAGTACATGTCTTGCACGTGCTGCGTAAGCACTGAGTAGTCCCAAAAGGAAGTGCTGTGTGGATCGGTGGGAGTCGGCTTCGGACAAGTGTGTCTTTAAGGTTGCGGTCTCAATATTCCCACCGAAAAGTAAGTCATAAGAGGCAAGGAACAAACATTCTGCATACAAAAAGCCAGATCTGTAAAACACATGTGCACACACATACACACTCAGGTTCTGGAACAGGACTAAAATCCAGAAGTGGATGGACAAGTATAACTTTCCCCTGAGGGTTGCAGCCAGTGAATGCAAAGAAGAACAGAGATATAGTCTTAAATATTAGAATTATATACAAGAATTGCATTCTAAAGTCAAGGTGTTTTGTGTGTGTGTGTGTGTGCTTGAGTGCATGTGTGTGTCTGTGTGTGTGTAAAGGATATTATGAACCCCTTCGCTTCATCCCATAAGAACCTGGAATAAAAAGACTTTTTTTCTCTCGAAATTTTGTGATGAGAAATACTTCCTTTTAATGCCCTGAAACTCTACTTCAGGACTATTCAACTGGTGGCTCATGAGCTAAATCTGGCCTGCGGTGGTCTAGCAAATAGCTGATGAATCATTACCATTTGTATTGCATTAACTCTTTGAGTCCCAGGGGGTTTAGCATCACAGGCCCAGGGGGTGGTAAAGAAAGCAATAAAATTGGCGCATCATGCGTTCAATGGGCTTTAAGATATGAACCTATGAACGTATGATGCGTTCCTTGGGACTCAAAGAGTTAATGATCTTTCAAAATGTTGGTCCTTGAGTAAACTTAGTTGAATAGCCATGCTCAACTCTCAGACACTAGAGAAAGAGAAGAAGAAGCAGTCTTAGAGCATTGATCAGTTTTTATAAAAGTCCAGAGGGTTCAAACCTATGACTTCCAAGCAGATAGGCAGGCTTTCTGGCCACTGCCATAACACTGCCACCACAATTCAATTTTTTTTTTAAATTGATACATCCTCTCATGCAAACTTTCACATATATGTGAATGTCAAAACTACGCCATGTTTAGACTACATAGAACATCAAAGAATGAAATGGTTTGGACATCTAACCAGGATGAAAAATGATCAAATAACATCACAAATTTTCAACCAAAGAAGCTCAGGATATAAGGCAAGAGGAAGACCAAGGAAACGGTGGATTGACGGGGTCTCCGAAACCTGCCAAAAGCATGGCCTCAGAACATCCGATGCTGCCCGCCTTGCTTATGACAGGAACTTGCATCTCCCCACAACGCTTAGCGGCATACGTGGAAGGAAAAAAGTAAAAAGTAAAAAATATATGTGAAGGGAAGTAACTACCAAATACAAACACAGCAGAGAATCTGCTACTTTCTTTCGCTTCGACCAGAAAAACTTTGTATTATTTAATTTGCGACATGGAGAAAAGTGACATCATATTGAGATTATTGGGATGTCCCATTTTCAGAAAAGCAATTTTTGTCATCCCAAATAATATCTCCAATTTTTTTTTTCAAATGCAGTGGTACCTCAAAATGTAAACTTAATCATTTCCAAAACAGCTTTCAAATTCTAAATCGTTTGAGTTCCAAGGCAATTTTTCCCCATGAAAATGTTGATTACACCCAGGTGCCTCATTCTTTTTTAGGCCAGAATAATCTTCTTTCTCTACTGATTCCGTTGCTTGTTCCCAAAGGGCCTTTGGAAAATCTTGTAAATGAAGGAAAAGTGGCTTTCCCAGAGTGACAGACTTAAATTTGTTCTGTGGACTTCCAGATCATGGACCACTAAATGGGAAACATTGAAGTACTTAGTAGACACATTCACAGAGAAATAACAAGAATGTCCCAGTGATCAGCTGTAGCCAGAGAAATAACAAGAATGTCTCAGTGACAAGCTGTAGCCAGAGAAATAACAAGAATGTCTCAGTGACAAGCTGTAGCCAGAGAAATAACAAGAATGTCTCAGTGATCAGCTGTAGCCAGATAAATAACAAGAATGTCTCAGTGACAAGCTGTAGCCAGAGAAATAACAAGAATGTCTCAGTGACAAGCTATAGCTATGAAGAATATTACTGGTCAGCTGGCTTTATGCTTTGTCTCATTGTAAAGATCATTATGGTTCATTCTATTCAAAGGTGTTCCCAAGTTCTGACAGCTCTTACTGCTTCCACTTCTGGTACTACATGTTTGGAGTCAACCCTGGGCAGCTGAAAGTATTTGTGCGTAACAGTATATCTAGCAGCAGCTTCTACAGGTGAGCAGTTTGCTGCTAATATTTAAGTGGGCCAGTATTGACTATTATATGTTTCATTACACGTATGTAAGTCCCCATTATTAATACTTGTATAGTAAAAGTGTGTGCTTTTGTATGAAATAAGGCTCCAGTGCTTCACTGGAGAAACAAGTGTACTTAGACACATGACCAACCAGTCACCCTAAACCCTAAATTAGTCACCAGTTTGTCATGCTTGTTGGAATTAGCTTGTTCTACATTCCCCCTGCCCCCCCCCCCCCCCCCCCCCCCCCCTCCAAAGGGGACCCTGAAACTCACATGTAAAGAAAATGTGTTTTATTACCAGCTTGCAATATCTTCTTCTTGTGATGTGGGTTAAAGTAACGTTAATCTCCAAATACAGGGGCTGATGATGATTTTCAACCCCACACACAGCGATAAACACCTGGTGACACAAAGTGCTACCATTCAGATGAAGATCACTCAGGGACAGGTCCCAGAAACACTGTTCAACCTATAGGATGGGTTATATTAAGGCTCCTGACTACAGTTGGGGTGGGGCTTCAAAAAATAGAAAAACTGCATCCCACATTATACACAGGGGCTAGTTAAGAAAAGAAAGTTAGTTGTGTATCCTTTACAGAAAATTGCAGAACCAAATCCAGCATGTTTTAACACTTTGGGTCAATAATTTGCCATCACTGTCTGGCAGTTGATGTTAAATACAATGTCAAAATCAGTGCAAAGCAGTCTGCTGCCAATTTTTCCACATCTACAATTGAAGCAGGTACTTCAAAATTACAAATAAGAACAGAAAAGCTAATATAAATGACAGTCATAATTCTTAGCCTAATGTAGAGTTAATGTTCCATTTCATCAACTTAACTCTTTGAGTCCCAGGGGGTTTAGCATCACAGGCCCAGGGGGTAGTAAAGAAAGTAATAAAATCAGCGCTCATTGGGCTTCTAGGTAGGAACCTATGAACGTATGATGTGTTCCTTGGGACTCAGAGAGTTAATGCATTAGGTATATGGTGCTTGCCTGATATTTGTACAGACCAGTCAGCACTGGTGCTAAGAGGATGCTAAAATGTTACATAGATCCTGTTCTGCTGTATGGCAGTGACTCTTGGAATGTCAGTCAACAAATAAGGAAGAATTTAGAAGCAACAGAGGTGTGGTTTCTGAGACGAATGTTAGGAATACCTTGGACAGCCAGGGTAACTAACAACGATTGCTTGAAAGAAGCTAATGAAAGTAGATCTCTATTTACAACAATAAGAAAGAGACAAACACTGTTCTTTGGCCACATAATGAGTAGATAGACATTAGAGAACATCATGACAACTGGAAAGATCAGTGGAAAAGGGGTAGAGGCAGACCAAGAGAGATGATGATGGATGGGCTGAAACGATGGAATGGAGGCATATCATCAAGAGAGCTGTTCCAGGCAACCAGGGATTGTGTTCTGTGGAGACGCATGAGCACCTACACCAGATGGCACATGATGATGAGGATGAGTCAGCACTTGGTGGGTGGTGTGGTTAATATCACACTGATACAATGATAGCCATTACTTGCCAGGAAATGTGCTGTATTCATTAAATTCTGTGTTGAACTTCTTCCCCTTCATCTCAGGAAATTCCGAAGGAAAGTTCTTGTCAGTTGTCTATTTCTGGACTTTTGTTCCTAAATTTGAGTTTTGTGTGCACATCTGTTTTACAATCCTGGCTTATTTGTATGCATTGTTCCTTTTTCCCTCTCGGGCAGTACACTTTGACTTCAAAGAAAACACCCCTAAT